CTCACCATCACCATCCCTTCTTTGTGTTTCTTTCTCACCCGTTAATTCGCTTCTGTGCCTTCTCAATCTCGGATCTGAAACGCCATCATGTAAATGCTCCCTTCTAGAACCATCCTCGGGAAAATCAGCATCGTAGTTGGACGACCTCGCACCTTTCATCATTGCCTGTTCTCTAAAATCATCGGCGTGATATTTCATCTCCCTTGGCTTTCTAAGTTTATCTTCCCAACCATAATCGCTGCTTTGATCACCCCCTCTTCTATTGAACTCCCTGCTTGGSAGAGGCGAATCTCGTGTTCTGGTCTTGTGTCTGTCATAAGATCCTGAATCTCGCCTTGCTCTATAGACCGGGCTTCTGCTACGGCTTCTACTTCTGCTATAACTTCTACTACCACTCCTGGGAAAAAGAGACTTAAAAAAGTAAGAACTCAAGAACAATCTCTACTTTTGTAGTTATTGTAACAACTCAAACACTAACCTGTGGAAAAATTGTTGCCTAGTTTCATCTTGTTCCGAATAATAACTGTTATCGTTATTCTGTGCAACTCTGCTCCTAGTCCTACCTTCGCCGGAATGCTGATCGTCCGCAGCAACAGACCTTCTACTACCATTACTCTCTGCATTAAACCGGACAGGCTCGGGATCTTCCTCGCGGTAATAAGAGCCTGATTTTGTATTTACGCTAGAATTATGATGATGTGTGTCTTCCTTAGAGTCCCATTTCGAAACACGTTTCCTTCCCGAACCGCTCATTGCCAACCCCTAAGGCTCGAAAACTAGTAGCACCAAATATCAAAAGAAAATCTGCAGAAAACAAGTCCACAAAAAGAGAGGAAAATTTAGCAAAGAGGTAGAGGAAACAGTATAACAAAATTAAAGCCTCTTAAGTGGAGACTTCTATTATTGTCACATATGCTTGAAGGCATCACAAAATTAGCCTGCTCAACGATAATTAGCTCAAAGTATACATTTTTCCAACACTGAATCATTCATAGCGAATTGAATCCACGAAAAAATTCAACCTTTAAATGTTATGCTAGTCCATTGAACTCAGAATCCAAGAACAAAAACTTATCTTGCCAAATTGAAAAAATTGATCTTGAGATCCTCACAGAAATCAAAAAATGAATAAGAGGAAAAAAATCCCAATCCTGTAAGTACACCAACAAGGAGAAG